ACATGGAAAACCCAATGGAAAATAAAACTTAGCCAGCATTAGACGTCAGAGTGCGCGCCAATCAGAACACAGTAAAGTGTGTTAAAGGTTAACCTCGTGGCAAATGTTGAAAAGCTGTGAGCAACATTTAGTAAAAAACGGAGTAAATGCGGTCTAACATGACTAGCCTTAATTCGGCAAGGTAGTGATTTCTATACTTCCATTTAGTATTGGATCGCTTTGCAGGTTGTTCTGCTTCAAATTACGGTAAACAATAAACAATGTGATCTGTAGAAATCGTAATAATTTGTACATGATTTGTCATCAGTATTATTTAAAAGAAGAAAATTCCTACTACCAGAAGAATAATATCAGATCAAAATTCTCCGAATTGGAAAGTTTACCAGTATAACTACTGTCCGCTCTCCTCCTCTATAGGGGTAAATGTAGGCCGTACGTAAGCCTAAATGACATCGAAATTCGAACATACTGAATGCCCACTAGGTTACCCACCCAGCTAGCGAACTAAACACAGTTTTAAAACATGATCGATTTAATAATAAGGTAGGATATAACAAAACAATAAAGTTCTAACATTGTTTATTTAGTAAATTGCAACATTGCTTACGCGTAGAAAGCTGGTAAACTATATTTCAATATTGTTTACGCATTGATTATCAGCCCGACGATTCAGCCTACGTTCATTGCAAAGCTAATTAAAATAACAATGACCTTCGTAGTGGTTCGTAGCTACGTTCCAAACGGTACCTACGAGTGGTTACGCGCAGATACGAAGCGATATTTCCTGCCTGTACTGTAACCTGTCAATGGATTTCTTTGGTGTGATACACCACACCAAGGATAATTCTAAAATCGCTGAGATCGAAATATGGCCCCATCATGTGGCATACAGTAGCAAATAAGAATAGAGAGTGGTTAGGGTTATTATTTTGACATCCTATTTTTAATTACTATGAAATTATAGAGGGTGTCCTAAAACCAAGATGGCGAAGTAGCCATTTTTAACTACTTTTTGTAAGACATGCGACCAAAAACTGGTCTAATTTTGTACACTTTCATTATACTGTAGTAAAAGGGGAGTTTACTGTGAAATAGTTTCGAATTGCAGAGCTACTGTATTACTTAAAATTTCTATTATCGTTAGGCAAATAAATTTGTATTTCCAAGATATTAAAATTACGAAAATAAACTAATGGTCAAAAATTGGCGAAAGGATGATTACATTTTACAGGCTGGATGCAATTTCATTTTATGAATTTGTAGTTGGAAGGTACAATGCATAGATGTTAAAATTAGATTCCTGTAAGTCATTGTCCAAAAGTCAGAAAATTAAAATTGTTTTAACCGTGTAGGTCGAAAATTAGCTACTTACCCTAGGCTATTGCAACTGTTTGAAAGTAGGCCTAACAACTGAATAATTAAAGGAAATTTACTCAATCCCAGGTCCACCCACCCTAGAGCGCTAGGGGGCCTAGTCCGGCGCTAATGCACTTTCGCACTTAACTTTTACTTCGTAATTTTTTTACCTCAGTGTTCTTCTCACAGTCACAACATATAATTAACAAACATGTTCACATGATTCAATGTTTTCAATGTAAAAATGTTTTATATGTGTTGTGACTGTGAGAAGAACATTGAGGTAAAAATTAATTATTAAAAGTTAGGTGCGGAAGTGCATTAGCGCCGCCTAGTCCTATATAAATAGGGACAACATTTAAATTCTGACAGAAGCAGTAATGAAATAATCTAGCCTAACCTAGGCCCTAATTAATAATTCGAGACCACCTTTTCTGAGTAGCCTGCTACTGGGCCTAACTAGCTGCTAGCCCCCCCCCCCCCCCCCCCCCCCCCCCCCCCCCCTAGCTGCTAGCCCCCCCCCCCCCCAGGCCTACTTCTTCAAGCTTCACAAAGTTGCACCTTTCTTTAATTGCAGACCAAACACGAGATCACCCCGAATTTTCCAGTCCCAAAGGTGGTCTTCAATTGGAGTGAATTGTAATACAGGTAATAGGCCTACCCTAGGTAGAGGGGTAGCTAGGCCCACAACAATGTCAATCGACAGTCAATAGAGACCGACTATTCCTAGCCTAGGCCTCTACTACTAGATAGCAGAAACTCGTCGTCTGCATAGGCTTAGGCATGAAAAATCCTGTTCACACAGACCATTCCACTTATCATTGCAAAGTGATGTACTACAGAATGTTTTAAATTAAAACATAGCATTTCAAAACACTCAAAACAAAATGCAAACCAATTCTAAAATTACTACCAATACGAGACATTTTTCGCCGGTATGTTTCTCTACTCACCCTCTAAAAGACGTTGAATAATTGTATCAATATTAAGTTTGTTATCAGCTTCAGCCATGCTAGATATTTATTTAAAATTCTTTACTCAAAAAATAAAATATTTATATTAACTGGACTTGATTTCAAACGATAATATCTCTGCTCTTTTCCAGCTGCAAAAGAGACGTAGGCCTAAACCTCCTCTGAATTCTTAAAATGGCTGCCGCTAATGAATTAAGCGCACTAATAATAATGGTTCAAAAATCCTTGCTGATATCCATGACGTCAGAAAATTCAAGGGCTGTCAACACGCCCACTATAATACTACGCAGTAGTAAAGTAGTTCAAATGTCGTCATATCGTAAAACCACTGAAACAATCAATGTTTACAATCTTTTGGTTATTTTACATACAGATGATACAGTATTAATACTAGTATCATATTTTCTATTTGTATAGTGGTCATGCAGACCTGTCAACCCTTACGCATTCTCAACAGTTACGGGCTAACGCAAAACACCGGCAAACTCACGACTTATCCCAAAATTTTAGTAAATTTTGTTTCTTTTTCAATTTGTAATAATTTTTTTGTAACTAACAACCATCATCATAACAATCTACCTCCATGTTTCAATAACTACGGTACTTATCTGAGATCATTATAAACTCACTATCGATTAGATAGGCCACAGTGCCATTTTGAACGAAGCGTCCAGGGGCATTCGGTACGACCCCGACCGGGAGCCCTTGGCGCCCCCCCCCCCCCTGGCCCTCGCCTATACGTCCTGTTCGTGCCTTCGGCACTCACTCATTTATGTCACCCGATCTTACTTTTTGAAATTTCTCAAGGTTGACAGGTATGGGTCATGACTCTAGCAAGACTGTTCTGGGAGTCTGACGTCCTATGTCTGATCTGACGGCTGAGTCAGATGGTCTTGGGGGTAAACCCCTTGGGGTCCAGTCTGGTGGCGCTACGGGGTGGGGACCCTTTTGACCCCTTGTTGGTGAATTTCTGGAGCCACTGCTGCTTGCAGTGGCGGATAGGGTTGGAAGCCAGCCCGAGCCCCTCCCTAAATAAAAAAAAAATGGAGAAAAACAAATTAGGCCTATATAGCTATTCAAGTTGAAGTCTGAAAACGCTATTACTGGCCAACTAGAGATACCACATTCCTGGATCACGCCACTGGCTAACCTGTGTTCATATATCCCATGGGTTACCGTGAGAGGGAAGTTCCCGGGCCCCCACTGGCGCTGCTACTGGCTTACTGGCCTAAAGTAATGCAACAATACAGTCTGATAAGCTCTTTATATCGTTGATTCTCAAACTAGCACTTAAAATAATAATACTAATAATAACGTTGTCATTGCAGTCAATGCCAACGTTGTGCATAGCCTTACATTACCATTACCATTCCCCATTATCAATCGTTTCGTTTTTGTCTTCGTTGTAAATATCGTTATCATCCTTCTTATTATTCATTATCATTATTATAATTCAATTGATGCGTGTTAGGTATCCAGCGTAGTTTTCATAACAATTATAAAGATAAATTCTATGATATAAACGTATCATCATATAAAAAATGTCTCAGCTAATTAAGTAGTCTGATAAAACCAGCTGATATGTTACGTGGACACAGTGGTGATGGCAGCAGGAGAGAAGTAGGCAGCCAGCGGCCATCCCTTTCCGTCGGACAAGCCCGGACCCCTTCGTCGGACCAAAAATATTAATTTCCCTATCCAAATAGTCATTTTTATTGTCAATCCAATATTAGGGTCTCGCTAGCACAATTGGGCTAAAGTAAGCCATAAAAACTCTTCCCATGAACCCTACCAGGGATTTTTTATTCCGGACCCTGACCGAGGCTCTGTCGGACATGTCCGATCCCCTGTCCATGATGGCACATTTTTGAAGCCACCACTGGCAGTTAGTTATATACAGGACAAAACCATTTTAAACAGTGTTTGAAGAATGGGGATGCTACAGATTTCAGTCAATATTAGAAACTGGGAGAAAGGGGGTTTACGTATCCACAATTCAACGTTATAAATTAATCATTTTTGACTAACAGTTCTCATATTAAGATTATAAAACTTCAGCACACCTCTCGACTCCAAAATTTCATGTTTCTATTCCTAGTAGCCTAGGCTACACTGACCCGGATCGATTGTTTTGCCAGGCGTGATGTGACATCAATAACAACTAACGGGGTCCGAACCCTGGTCGTGAGAGATCGAGTAGCTTTATTATTAGGCAGGTGGGGAGGGGGGCGGGGGCGAGCGCTTTTTGCCACTCACCTGGATCTGCCGCGACCAAGGAGTACTATTCGTATTTTCATACATGTAGCTTCAGGTACCGATACCAATGAGAAAAGGTGCCATCTTTATATTATTTCATGCCATGCTCAAGAGAGAAATTGAATATTGTAGGCCTACACCCGATTTTTTTTTTTTAAGACATTGGTGCTTGACTGTGAAAATAATTCAGGTTTTCAATAGGCCTATTTAAGAACTGTTTTCTTTCTTTCTTTCTTTTTTTTTTTAAGACACTGAATTGGTGCTTGACTCGTGAAAATAATTCAAGTTTTTCAATAGACCTATTTAAGACCTGTTAAAGAAGAGCCATGGTGAACTATTCTGCATGTCAATTTGGTTTGCCGACTATTCATGATATTGGCAAAAAAACAATTAAATATCACTATGATATTATCCTTCAAAATCTTAGTGTTTTCTTTAAAATGAGAATCCGTACCAATTGAAAAATAATCGCCATTTAATCTTCGTTTTGTTTATCAATTGTTTATCCTTGAGCAGGGAGCATCAAGATCAAGATAATCCCTTTTTGACCTTCAAAAGCTTTAAGCTGAAAGTAGGCCTAGGCTATATCCTGCTTTAAAAAATGGCCCCGAATGACAATTAAAATTTCCCCAATTAAACAACTATTTCAATTCTGCAAAAGAAACACAAATTAAATCACCAATATCACTAAAATAATAGTTTTTTCGAAAGAGTCCATACATCCAACATTTTTATAGTAAAAATCGGGGGAATTTCGCACGAAGCACCAACGAAGGCCTTGGCTGGGGGATGGGTGGGGTTTGTGTGTCTTTATTGCATGGTGTTTTGGAAGCCTCTGCTATTTAATGCATTAAGGGCAAAACACATAATTTTTATGATGGCATGTGTTTGCAATAATAAAATTATCATGATTTTGTCATGTTTCAATATACATTGTCTTGTGTGACTAGGCCACGCCAATAGGATCAATTTCTCACTTGCTGGCCTTGTTGTATCTTGTAAAAAAAGTTCATTACAAGATACAACATCTGGATTCAAAATAGACTTCAATTAATACAGATAACACTGCCGGTATTTAACAATCCCGCTACGGCACTTATCTTTATACAAGTATTCTAGTCGTAATTTACCCTTGACCTTCATCTAAAAACGATAATAAAATATTTTCTTACGCAGACAGGATCATTAATGCCTACATGTTGTAATTTATATTTTTTCATCCGTTTCTTTTTAATTCTGTAAAATCCATGTGGATTTGGGTGTTCTCTGATGCCGACAACTGTGGCCACCAGGTAGCGAAAGCGATGTGTGGAGCATTGTTTGGTAGTGGTTGTGCTATGGTTTAAGGTTTTATGTATGATTGTATTGTGTTATATAATGATTTATGTTACGACTTCCAAAGTGGTAATGAGTGGAAAAGCTCAACAATTAGAATAAATACTAGAATGACACTTCAAAACCATTTTGGTGTCCCTTCATCAGACAAGCGTTTTATTTCGAGAAATCTCAATTTGTCACACTCAAAAACAATCATTACATTTGAGTATAAACTCTGACGAATATTTATTCATTTTTTTAAACACTTTATCGAATCACTGAACTTCAAAACAAAAGTGAAGTACTTCAGGTGAGAAAAAAAAACACTAAATAAAAGTATTAAGTGTTCATTTATTTATTAGACTGTACAACTTATAGGCGTGCATTTCACACATTAAGCCTGCATATATTATGTAATTCTAAATACACTATATGGAATGACTATGTTAAAATAGATACACTGCATCAAAAAGAAGGTCTAGGTATAATTTATTTTAATTTGAATACAAAACCAGCACCAACGAACTACAAAATCATTAAATATAATGCATACTTCACAGAAGACTATCTTCCTTTCCTTGTTGATGTGGTGACAGGGTTAAAAATACTGAAAAGTAAAGAACTATATGTCTTATACCTTGTTGCTCTTTTCTGCTGTCATGATGAAAGTATAATTATTTTGCCCTTCAATTTGAGACCCATCTAATTCCGAGACTCTCTAATTTGAGGCCAGCTTTCTGAAGTATTAATAAACAACATTCACCCTTTTGATACATTCTCTAATTGGAGACCAAACTCCCGAAATTCTCAGGTCCCAAATGTGATCTCGAATTGGAGGGCAAACTACAACTTTACAAACTTCATGACAGTAGAAATGAAGTATGCTCCATGACAACATAAAAATATCATGAAAGCTTTACAGAGAATATTACAAATCATGTTTGTAATAATATAAATTTAGATAGTTGATTACAAGGGTAAATAAATAAGGAATTAACTGGAGCTCTATCTATTCCCCTTTGATATACAACAATCATTGCCCCCATGAAGGTTTTTCCATTCTAGAACTAAGATATACCAAGATATACTGTCTCTTTATCAGTTAACAAATTCTGAATTGTTAATTAACAAAACTAAATGTCTGTAAATCAGTGAGAAAATAATCTTGTAAATGTGCTTCTGGTTTAAAGTTAATAACTTTTTTTTGATCCTTTAAATGAGATACTCAGAGTTTTGATTGAATTTTTTTTGGTTTTCCCAATATTTTTGGCAGAGAGTATATCTTTAACACACTACAAACTTGTAGATAAGGAACTAATTTCAAAGAAATTCGAAAGCACCACTACTGATAAGGTATATTAGTAGTTATAATCATCAATTTATTAGCGAGTCTAACAAAACAAGTTCTTGTAATCTCGAAAGTTCCGATATGGGGCAGTATAATAGAGGCAGTAGAGTATATTTGCCCCTAATGGCCGCCCATACATAAAAGCTCTATTAATTAATCAATCAATCAGCCGTGTCCCTAGAGCTCCTCATCGATCCAGCTAAAAATACTCGTACTTCAATGAAAAGCGTGGCTGCTGCTGCTGAGGGGTCAAAGGTCCACGATTAGAATTTAAATATCCCCGACCATGGGCATTCATATACACCTCAGCTCCAGTATGGTTGGAGCAAGTTAGGTTATAGTTGTTGTTATATAAAAAAGCAGAAAACAATCTGATTCTTCTACAATTTAACAAAGGAACAAACCAGGAAATTAAAATTACTGTATTAGCAAGTTTCAAATATTCTGACATTACCATGAACTTTCAATGTGTAAGTAATTATAACAACCTGACATGTTGATTTGTTCTTTTGTTACTTACGTATCTTAAAATAAATATCTTTAACAATAACATATTTTCATTTATCTAAAGAGAAAAACAAGAAAAAGATACTTAAACAAAATTAAAGCATTAATCTATAGTCTACATTTTATGGTTGAAAATATGAAATTTGGGGGTAAACATATTTTCCTGAAAAATAATTGAATAATACATGCATCATACAGAAGCGAGCTTTTAAATTAATTATGTTGATTTAAGTGGAAGCGGGCATGGAGGGGGGATTCTATATAGGAATGTTTATGGTCGACTGCATTGCACTGCTTAAAATAAAACAAAAGTGGAATGAATTAATTTAAAGCCCTGTCAAGATTATCAAAATTATTCGACAAAAAAATGTGCCTAAAACATGCCTAAATATGGTCATCATGACCATATATAGGCACATCATGACTATATATGGGCATAAAACAGGTTTTTTTTTCAAAGAAAATCTATATAGTGTTGACAGAAAGTTGAAATTTAAAGATTTCATTTGCTTGACATCATTGTGATTCCAAATTATCTAGAGTGTTAATGTTTATATCTACGAGAGAAAAACAATTTTGTATTATCAAGTAGCATTCGTGGAAGAAGCAACAGCAGTGGTTGCAATCCAGACACTCTCAACCTTAAATGTGTAGGGTTCGAATCCAACTCTCTATATTGCTTGTTATATTGAACGAAGGCACTTTGTGTTTGTCTTTCTCCACCCATAGGTATAACTGCGTAACTCATAGGATGCAAATGTTCTAATGAATACAGTCAGTCTGCACTGAGTTTTTGAATACTTGGGAGTCTTTGAATACTTGACTGTAAGATTTGGAACATACTGATGCCACATAAAGTCATCTGAGCATGCAACAGCTCGACTGAATTCTAGCGACGGAGTTTAGTCTGAAGCTACAAGCGGAGCACGCTAGACAATGAGGGATAAATAAATACCTTCTAGGTTTAGGCCATTGCAAAAATTTTAACATAAACCAAGGAGCAGAGAAGGTTGCTAATGTATGTTCAGTGACCAGGAATAATAATGCTTTTGCACCTTTGATCAAGAGGTACTTTGGAATTGGTATACAGTACACGCAAACGTTGTTAGTGTCTGATGTGAGACAAAAAAAAATTAAAACATTTGTATATAGCGCCCTCTATGTAATAATCACAAAACAGAGTGCCCTCTATGTTATTTTATTTTAAATTGTAATGCTATAGATTGCAATCCTCGGTCTGTATGTCTTCGTTTAAATTTAAATGGCCTGTATTCACATCTTAATAACGACATTTTTATGAATTTTAGGGTATAATCGTTCCATACACTTTATCTTTTATAAACATTTTTATTATTTTTAGGATGAGTGCGATAATACAATGTAGGGATGAAACGTGAAAAAAGTGGATGCTAATGCGCGAGACTTGCACATTGTGTGACAGCTGGCAGGTGCAAAATTGGTGCAAACTAAATTTAAGATATTACTGTCACATCCTGTGTATGATTGTTAAGGTTCACATGTATGCTGTCTATGAATGAAAATACTCATCTCGCATTGAAATTGCAGAGAGATGCGAGCACAGTCACAGATATGCTGTTCTTTTATATTATATATTATGATGCTTGTGGCACTCTCGCAACTGCACAAGCATACCAAAATTTACGTAATAATATGAAAATAAAATATTTGTTGTGTTTCACTACATGCACTTTGGCAGATGTAAACTTTGGTGGCACCCTTTAAAACTTGTGATAAAAGAGGAAGAACGTTGTAATAGTGTACGGCACTGGTTGTACAAACTAAAAAATGAAAAATTGTAAATCATGTAAAAATTTCTAGAGACAGAAATTTTCCTGCGAGTGGTCACTCGTTCATCAAACTTGTTCTGAGAATGTTGCGGTCAGATGATTGCTAGACAAGCAAACCATGTGACTGGAAACTTTCACTGATTTTTCAGGAATAAACAGTAATATGGGGCAAATTATACCATACCAAAATCATCTAAAATCCAGTTACAACAAACCTCTTTTCGGAAACACACATTTGTCTGTAGTGCTCCTTTTGATAACTAATTAAGTTTAATTGCAATTACATACTTTTGAATTAAAAAAAAAAACTAAGGATAATAAGTGTAAATCAACAAAATCATAAGCTTAAAAAAAAAACAAGCCAGAAGAAATAAACATTTTAAAATAAAATATTGAACATGGATAAATAAAAATGCTAAACCACATTTTAGTGCTGTATGATATTATTTTGGGAACAAATCTTGCTCTTTCTAACATTTGGCTATAGCTTATTAAAAGTTCATGTGAATTAAACAGCATTCGAGCAGGCACAAATGAATACAGAAACCAGCTTATGGCTTCATCACTACACCTTGTAATAATCTTGCACCATGAAAACTTGGTAGCAGTCATCCAATAGCTGACGGACTTCCTTGCTGCAGCAGGTTTACAGCTGGTAATTGCCTTGCTAATATGGTACCAATTGTCCACTTGCTGTTGGCTCTGTAACAGGTGCCGTATCTCCAGTGGAATATTTATGGTAAAATGTGGGAGGCGTAAGATCCTTAAAGAATGCTCACAGCGCCCCCCTTCACTTAACCATTTACCTCTCCCACGCCCCTCCCCATTTCATTGCTTCCTAGACACACCACAGTTTACATCTTGCAATAGCGTTATATGAACTTGGTACCAACTGTCCGCCTGCTGTAGAGCATTAAGCTGGCACACAACGAAACGTGCAAACAATATGTACCATGCTAACTTGGTACAAATTGTCCAGTCACTGATGTTCTTGTAGCAACAGACTATACAGCTTTAGTTTTGCACATAGTAAGTGCCTGTGCTAACTCGGTTCCCATTATTGGCCATGAACAGCTTGTTAAGACAGCCATGGATCATAACAATCTGCATTTAGTAAGTCTGTTCATCATCGCAACTCTCCGTCCAATGTCCAAATTCTAAACCAAAATACAAAAAATACTGTAGTCAAAGTTAATATTGACAGGAGCGGATCCAATGGAGAGAACAGGGCATGTCCCCTTCTTCCACCACCCCCACCGCCCTCTGTTTGTCCCTTCATTTTCACATTTTAATACATAGCAGTACTCATGTCATGTATTGAAATATGAAAAAATAGAATAAAATCATAATATTTATTAATAGGGCCTCTGGCCTTTACGTTATGGCCACTGCTGCTACAGCTATAACTCCTACTTATTTATTCTGGAAATTTGGTGTCCCTTTCTTTGTAAAATTCTGGATCCATCACTAATTCATAGGATAAAGAGACATGAATACACTTAATACTGCAAAAAATCAATTGAAAACACCCCTATAAAATAATGAAACAATCAGCTCATGGCTGCCTGTACAATATTTAGTTTAGTAGACATGTATAAATATACCAGAATATAAAAATAAAAGTTTCATAATAGTTTTTACAAATTCCACAGCTAACACACAGGCTCCTTTGCTGCAGCACCATATCTTTGAAACAAACTCCCTTGTGAAGTCAGACAGGCCCCTACTTTAATTATATTTGGACCTCAAAGCGCATCTTTTTAATAATTCATACTAATTAAGTGTATTCTGTATGTAACATCTGTGTAATAAAGCTATATAAATATTCATATTATCATATTATTATTTAAAAAAATTCTAACAGAATATGTTAAAATAACAAAGGTAGCTAATTTAACAATGTCGATAATTTATTACTCATAAAACCAAGTAAGTAAAACTAAACATACCTTCACAAATATCACAATAGGCGCGCTCTTCACTTCTACTACCGTGGTATTGTGATGGAGGCGGACTGTCGGAGCTAGCCTGTAGAGGGCAGTCTTCGGTGTCATGAAGGTCAAAGACATCGCAGATGTCACAGAATAACCTAGGTGGAGGTCCTGAAGGATGATCATACCTGAAATAAAATTAAAATATTGAAATGATAACAGAAACAAGGCAATAATACTTTATGGAATATAAAATTATTAAAATAACTATCAGATCAACCAATTTATAAATCATAAAAATGCACTTATGCATTATAATTTGCAACTTGTAAAATAACTAATTTTCTCAATTTGCTTGGTCTTTTTGTACAATTTTATTTTTTAACATGTTTTTTTTTTGTTGTATTTTTGTGTCCTAGCATATATTTTTATTCACTTTCCCCCAATTTTAATGTTTCCTTTTTACTTGTCTTCATTCGTCAACTTTGTTTTATTATATTTGAATACTGAATATATGGAAATTGAATTTAAATAGGCTTTAGTAAATCCAGTTACATGACTGAATGCAGAGGATGTTTAAATTTTGAGAACATGTTTCTGCTCACCATAAACTTATAAAACACCACATCACATGACTTACTCTATATCCAATGAGAGGTCGTGGTTGCCATTCATCCCACCATTTTCCATTATATCCATCTGCGCTTTAAGTTCATCATTTTTTCTCTGTAGATCTACAATGACTGAGTTTAAGAATTGCACCTGCCCCTCTGCTTGTTCTTTCTCCTCTTTCAATGCATCATAGATTTCATTCTCTGGAAAGATGCAAATGGTAAAATTATTGCATACTCTATAATGCTATACTATGCTGTGTCCTCCCATAAGGCGAATGTGTTTGACCAATATGCATGCAAAGTTTTATTTGCATGTGCGAGTCTTTCACCAGCTTGTTTGCCTCCTATCCACCATAATCATGGGTTGTATCAAGAAATATATTATTTAATATTTATATAATTTTTCTACAACTTACCATCAAGAACTACATTGTTTGAATTATTGCTTTCCTGGAGTTGTAACTCAGCTATTTGTTGCCTTAATGCTGCGTTGGTATCTTCAACATCGTCTAATCGGTCCTTGTAATTTTTCATCACCAAGCATTCTGCCTTTAAAGTAGTAATCTAGAAATAAACAGAAAAACAATATATTTAAATCTTCAAATCATTTGTGGATGGATGCATATGAAGGTTGTAAAATTATCCATTATCTGTTTTTCTTTCCTTTTACTGTAGTTGCTCAGGTTTAAGCCGACTTGCAGGCCTGATTCTACGGCTCGCTTGAACCACAAGTTTTGAGCGAACAGCTTTTTAGATAAACTAAACCACCCTTTAAGGACCTTGGCTTTAAAGTCTATCATAATGATGAAATGAGGAATTCCTAATTGATCAATCATATTTGATATATCTTGTATGTTGACTTTTTATATAATATCAAATAATAATAATCAATAGATATATTTGTATTTTTTGATAGACTAAACAGTATATGTAATAGACTAAATATTATTATATTTTTATTTACAAATTGTTATATAATGCCTACTTACTGATGAAATCACATTTTTGATAAACAAAAGCAAATTTAGTTTAACCTTTCTATTGTCTGTTTTTAACCACATTGAATATTTTTGCAGGATGTGATACAGGGGCAGAATTTTTAAACAAGGGGAACCATAGGCCTACAGTAGATGTAATATAATTATACAGATAAATATGTATCCAAAAATTGATAAAATTTATGTTCAGTATGCTGTTACAAAAAATTGTAACATTTGATATTTGCATGCCATTTCATGTCTTTTTTTGTTAAAAAAAAAATGAGGTAGTAACAAAATCGGGGTACTTGTCCCCCACGTACCCTTTCTAAATCCACCCCTGTGATATATGAAAGACACATTAGCTTAGCGGAATTATCTAACAGCATTTAATTTATTTTATCTAGTGAAATGACAAAATCTTACCTCTGTCCTGCATTTCTCAACTTCCTTCTCTTTTTCTGATATTAGTAGATTAGTGATTTCTAAAGTTCTTTCCAAGGATTTAATGTCCGAGTTTAGTCCAGCTGTAGCTTCTGATTCCCTGTAATATCAAACAAAAACATATTTTATAATTCTGACTTATTTAAAGGAGAGTGGAAGATGGTTAAGTTTTGGTACATATGTTCTAAGGTTCAAAAGCATGATGCAGACATCGCGTCATGTTTAATTTACATGGACCATATGCAACAACAAATTGTGTTGGGCTGCGTAGTACAACCATGTCTAAGTTAGAATTTAAACACATTCTGAGATATTCTGAGAAATCAAAGTCGTCTTTACACAAGTGAATTGTAACCTTGCTAAAGATTGGTACAACTGACACACAGATATGCATGATGCCACAGTGAAATATAAGCTTTTCTCCCCAATGTATGCAAACAGATCCTTGGGGAGGGGTACATCGCCCACAAAAATAAAAATTGTGGGCCTCCCCCACTGGAAATTTCCTTTGCAAAAATTTACACACAATTTGTTAAAAATCACCTCATTTTGCCAGCTAAAACCCCCTCACTTTGCATGCTAATCTTTCAAAAATATGTGATTGTCAACAATTGCTTACTTAGCTTTTGTTTCTTCTAGTACTTTATTAACTCTATCAAAATCATCTTGCAGCTGAAATAGTAAAAAAAACATAATATCAGAAAAATAACAGACATAACACACCATTTATAATTAGGATAAAGAACTAGACAATGTTAGAGGAAGGGAAAGAAGAGGATTGCTAATTGTTCGGTTTACTTTTTAAAAAATATTTAAGCTCCATTGAAGCTAAATTGCATTGCGAAAAGTAAAACGTGTGTCAATGTAACAAACACAGTTAAAAAGAATAAGAAAATTAATAGTTTCAAGCTATTAAAAATGAGATGAAAAAATAAGTAATACACTGGCCAAATAAGTATGAATGAATGAATGAATGAATGAATGAATGAATGAATGAATCAATCAATCAATCAACCTATCAGCTTTGTTTACAATGCAGAATGATGTATACAACAAAGTCTATCATTGAAATTTTCAAAGACAAAAACTCTTGTTCTAACCCTTGGCCTACCAACCACTGAATTTATATCTTATAAGTTGCCTAAAGGCCTAAACTTTCATTCTAAACTGATCATGAAAAAAAAAATATTGAACTCTAATACACCAAAATGGGTAAAAACAACAATATATTGCTCTATTTTTATGAACATTTCTCACTAGGACTGAGTCCGCTATTACAATCAATCGCAAATGCCTACACCAGTAAAATCATAACATACCTTCGCTTTTTCTTCTTTGATTTGTACAAGACCTGTAAGTTCATTCTTCAGTCGATCTCGTTCTGTTTCCAATTCTTGACCTTTAGCCTTAGACTGTCTGTCGGTCTCCTCCACTGTTGCTCTAATTTGATATAAGATTTTTTTTTGTTAAGTATTATTTTTAAAACTAAATATTATATTGATTGAGTTTCTATTATTTATTATTAGTTTTTACATTACTTTTACGTTACATTAAATGAGCAATATTATTTTATATTGAATTGAAATGTTTAGGCCCCAGGGTGCTTAGTCATCTAGAACCACACCAGGGCTTCATCTCTCAACTGCACCAAATTTTGCAGAAGATTGTCAGACTCCTTAAAGTATATCCTAGAACATCCACATCAATGAATGCGCGCTTTCTATAACCAATAGTGAGTGCTCTACCATAAATAAAGTATCGACTTACAATTTCTGCCGAAGTTCAGTTATCATCTTGTCAGAGTCTTCCGTAGCGGTCGTCATGGTTTTTATTCGTTCTTCATACTCCTTCAACCGCCTCTGTAATTCTTGCTGCTTCTGTTCTTTCGCTTGCCTATCCGTGTTACTTTCATTCATTTGTTTCTCGATGCTCTCCTTCTCCTGCTTGATTAGTTCACTGTGCTTCGTAGCTGTTTCTAAGGAAGCCTTCATCACCGCTTCATCTTCCTTTGCCTATTTTTTAAGGACAACAAGCAACTGTCAGTATGGGTGAAGGATACTTCAGGGGCTTTCACTGATTTTGGTAAAAATAAGTTAAGGCTCTGTTCATACTATTAAATTTTATGTGACAAAATTTGTGTGACGAATGAATTTGCGTAAAATGAGGACGGTGAACGCGCACACGGACCGAAGTACTCATTCTACACAGCTGGGAAACTAAATTATAATTGGACACATTTCAGATAGGCCTAATAATTAATATGTATTAGTCATGAGTTTTGTTTATATCCATACTTTGTGGACAATAGAGAAATGTTTATCTTGTATCTCGTCATTCCCTAATATGGACATATCACAGTTATTTGTCCCATAAAATTTGATAGTGTGGACAAAATTTATAACTAGGATTCACTAGTGGAAAAGAGGGGTTCTTATATGACAACCAGATGTCTCAGAAAAATCTAAGCATCCTGATGGGGGTCAAGGGAAAAGCTCATTTTAGAATTAAGGTCAACTTTTCCCGAGCTGACGTATCAATTTTTTAAATATATTTTTTAATTTATGCTCAGAAATTGTTTACGAGTTGTTATTAACTGATGCAACTAATCAATTAAGTTATTTTATAAATTTTGAAGTTACAATTCAAATCGCCAAGTCTACAGTATATTACTTACCTTTAGAGTCAGACTCTGTAATGTTGTTTCTAGTTCAGATCTATGAAAAGAAATAAACCTTTTACAAGAAAATAGTTGTGTTGCCTTAAACACAATGACATTTGAACACCAGGGGTGGGTTAGTAATTATATTTCTACCTAAGCCTATAATTATAGGGTACAGTGGCAACATTCCCTCTCCCCATGCAACAGAAAATTCAGGTTAAGCTATCAAACATATTATTTAAAGCTTGAAAATGAACTTGTGTTGATGACTTACATTTTTCCTTCCAGTTTCTTTGATATCTCTGTCACTTGATCTGTTTCTTTTTGTTTTTCTTTAAGTAGGTTAGCTTCTTTAGCTAATTTTTCATTTGTTTCATCACTAGGGAAAAACAAGTATTGCATTAAAAGTGGATGTTGTATTACATTAAATGAGGGTGTTGGTGCATGGTTAGTTTGACCAAACCAAACCTCTGCAAAGGGTGATGCAACCATTTTGGTAAAATATTACACTATTTGTAATGATGTATTTAAAGAAACAAACAAAACGAAGCCAAGACTTTTCATCTAAGAAGAGAGCTCAATATATATTTATTTAATTTTAATTCAGGTTGAAATGTTAGGAAATTGTCCACTAATCTAAAGTGACAGTCGTTGCATTTTTGGTACATTCCCAATTATCATTTGGAGAGGTCGGGCAATTGGTTCAAAAATAGCCATTCAATAATCCACTGCACCATATAATGCTAGATAATCCTGAGTCGTGGATGGAGGGGGTAATAAAATTCTTATTTATTGCCTTAATATTTATCTAAAAAATGTCTTCAAGCAAGGGCTCAATTACATGACCAATACAACATGTATGCAAAAATTGATAACCAACAGGTGTCTGGAAATTCAAGTTTGCTTGTTACAAACTTTCAAAGAATTTGTCAGTGTCACAGATGTACGGGACACACATACAAGGACGATTGCAAAGGTTCCTATTGCTTTAACATAGGAACCAAAAATGTCAAATCCGAACAGAGCTTTGGGACCTGAGCTTAATCCATATGGATAGGACTTGGATGAACCCCAGCACATGCTACTCACATTGCTGCATTCAGTTGCGTGATGGTATCCCCTTTTCTTTTGACTTCTGCTTTATTCTCTTCTAGACTACCCTTAATTTGTTTCAACTCTTCCCTTAATACTTTCTCATCTTCTTGCAGGTTAGCAACCTGTCGTCTGCTCTCTTCAAGCTGGAAGTTTGCTTCATCTCTGAAAATAAATAAAGAATTCTTACATATATGTAGTGGAGATCCAATCAATCAACTGGTGACAACAAGGGTGATGTTGACAAATATTGATATTATTAATAATAATAATAATAATAATAATAATAATAATAACTAGACTTACTATATCTGTTTGTTCAACAGAACATAGGGCTTTTCCCCATTGCTTTAATGAGAAATAAAGTTTAAATTGCAACAAAAAGAAAAGTATAAAAAGAATAAAGTAGAAAAAAACATGGGAAACCAAAATACTTATAGTACTAAAAAAATACTGAAGTGGAAAAGAAAAAAAAAACAATGAAAACCAAGTTCTCTGCGATGTTAGTGAGACTCGAACTATGGCTGCAATGGTAATAGCGAGGTACATTGTGACTCATAACCATTGTGCCCTATATGAGCCGACCTTGCATAGGCCAGTGCATTTTCGGATCACAGCAATTCAATGATTGAAAGCAAAAATTGTTTCAGTTACTAGCTGTAACTGGCTTAAGCGCTTTAAGAAACGCAAATTGCGTTTAAATAATTTAAGCAAACTGTCCAATAAAATCTTATATTGTCCTCATATCAACACCCTACTCCGAATCGTCACAAAAATTGGATCATTTCTTCATTTCACCCATGAAAAACTATTCTGCAAAGTTTCATTTTTATCCTTTTATAACTGGGACGTATTAGCAAAAACTATCTTCCTTGTAACTTGTTAAACTTATCCCGAATGTTTCATTCAGATCAGTTGATCCGTTTTTGAAATATCTGGACTGGGACGTTTCCTTTGAATGGTCCTCAGATCTACACCCTACTCCGGATTGTCAGAAAAATTAAATAATTTCTTTACTAGACCTTGACAAACTATTATAGAAAGTTTTATTTATACCCATTGAAAACTTTTTAGAGATATTTAGGTCTGGAATCTCAAAAATTTAAATGACCTTCAAATTTACACCCTTGACTGAATCGTCCCCAACACATAATAATTTCTTCCTTGTAACTTGGTTAAACTTTTCTGAATCTTTCATTTAGATCAGTTGATCAGTTTGAAATATCTGGACTGGGAGGTTTTCCTTTTAATGGTCGTCAGATCCACACCCTACTCAGGATTGTCACGAAAATTTAATCATTTCTTTAATAGACCTTGAAAAACTGTTTAAACCTTGACAAGGTTTAAATTATACCCACTGATTTTTTTTAAAGAGATATTTCGGTCTGGGTCCTCAAGAATTGAAATGACCCTCAAATTTACACCCTTCAATGGATTGTCACCAACACATAAAAATTTATTCCTTGTAACTTGATCAAACTTTCCCAAAAGTTTCATTCACATCAACTGACCTGTTTTTTAAATATCCGGTGTAGACTGTTTGCCCTTAGATCACTTTAATTGATCTCCACACGCACACCCCACCCTAGATTGACACTAAATATTAGGAGGCACATCCTTGATATATGGTCTATGCTTTGGCAAAGCACAGAAAAATTCTAAGCATGGGAAGTGAAGTGAATATTGAAAATAAGCCAAATGGTATTATAATAAAATAATAATTATTTAAAAAAAATACAATTAAAACAGAAAAAATCTAACAGTAATGATAATAATATTGTATAATATAACATTTTTTAGTAGATACTGTGAGAAGACATTAGTATACAATATATAAATAATGATAACTAAGTCCATGTAGTTCTGAATACTCTCTCTAAATCCAAGTAACTGTGCACTAGACTTGACAAATAACTAAATTCATAAACCAGCATCATGTTTAACAGTTGACTTCTGTCCTGTAAATAGACAAGCATAGCATAAATAGCATAAAATATGATAATTTAAAAAAATCCACTCACAGTTGTGTTTGTAGGGAACCTAAATTTTGTTCCTCTTTCTCAGAATTCTCCTTGCTTTTGTCCAACATGGTCTTGAATCTGTCCACCTCCCTCATTAGTCTCTCCTTCTCTCTTTCGGATTCCGTTACTTGTCTCGTCTTGTCATCCAGCGACTGTTGCACAGTATCTCTGTCAACATCAATCAACGTTTTGATGCATAAAAATGTATATTTAGGTCAAAGTTAATTGATTGACTCTATATCTCATTGCTTCGTTTCACATTTAGGTAAATTATAATTTGTATTTTTCAAAATGTGCCTATGATTTATCCGAGAACAGTACGCACGTATACGTCAGAGAAACATTTTGAGATCATCGTTTGGAGACAGATTATTTTTAATACACAAATAAAATGGCTAGAGATATGTTAAAAATAAAAATAGATATATTTTTATATAATATGATGATAATAATGATGATAATGAGGATCAAGATGATTTTGATTATGTAGATGATGATTATTATTTGATAATGATTCAATAATGATAATAGTAATAACAATAGCAGCAACAATAACAGAAACAACAACTGTAATTAAAAACAATACAATACAATGTCATTTTCAAATGGCAATAAAAAAAATCATATACATCATAAAAATTGTATTTTCTAAGCAAGCAAATTAATTAAAAAATAATAACATAAATAGTATGCAAATCCAATCAAATCTAACCAATCTCTATTAACCTTCTATGGGAGAGCATACTGTACATCAAAATACAATACAAAATTCAATTGTAATCTTAGAATCATTATTTGATAATAAAACACTACCACAATTAATTAATGAGATGGTGACTTATAAATTATATATTTTAACTTACAATTGTGCTTTCATTGTCCCTCTTGATACCTCCTCTTCTTTCTTCCTGATTTCATTCACGCCTGATTCTTTTTCCAACGCTTCTATTTTTTGGAGTAGGTTCTTCTTCTCTTCTTCTGTTACTGACATTGCATTGACAGACTCATCCAACTTTCTTTGTACTTCTCTCCTGGAAAAAAAAAGATCAGAATAAATGCTAGGTCTTCTTAAAATAGCATTCACCCCATAAAAGCCAATCTAGGTAGAGAGGTTTATATTTCATACCGGAACATTACATCGAAATTAGTTACTTCATAAAAATTAGTAAAACATTCTAGTACAGTAGTCAGTACCAGGAAATAATTGAATGGCAAATGAAAAGACAATTCTATGAAAGGCAGTAAATATTATAAAACAGAAATCATATGAGATGGTGGTAGTCTATGCGAACGATACTTGGATAAACTGATTATTTGCCAATGTTCTTTAAATAAACAACCTACAAAAAATGGAACCATCCATTCCAAAGCACCACATGACTGCACAGCTGTCACATGTTGTGTTCTGGGATGGATTGTTCTATTTTATTTTTTGGGATGTTCATTTAAAATAATAGCAATAGTTAGTTTATTCAGGTATCCATAAAATAGACACTAATATTCATAACAATTTGCTAATTGTTCATTAAAGGCGAATGCAGCAGTGTCGATAGGAATGTAGGATATTTGTGACTGACTGGTTAAGGTACTCTGCCTTGAATCCAAAGACAATGGGTTCAATCACTGAAAACTCTAAAAAAAACAGCATCAGAAAAAATTAATGCAAAATTACATTTTTTCTTGTAGATTTTTGAAATGTTTGTTTCCTTCGTTGTTCCTGCCTTCACTTTCTTTTAAATTTACTTTATACTTCTCCATTTCTTCTTTAACAGAGTTGAGAGTCTCTTCTTGGTTTTTCAATTTATCTTGATGCTCTGTGATCGCTGTCTTTAATGAGTCTCTTTCAGTTGTCAAATTTGAAACTGCAGTAAGAATTTTCTCATTCTCCTTCAAAACCTGAAATGCAAATATATTACTAGATTATTGTTTACTTTTGTTTTCTTTATTATTATTACTATCTTCTCAGCCACCTGTCGTTTTTGTTCGAGTTTATTTCTGATGTAATGTTATTTTCATATTTAATTTGGCAATACCTTTGCCAATAAAAAGCAAGCAGCTATACATCGGACACTGTAAGCTTGGTTTTTAATTATCATACCTCATTTTTAGCATTTGTTTCACTTTCAATCTGTTTTAACAATTCTTCTTGTTTCTTGTTTTGTTCTTGTCCCGATGAATTTGTGTTTTCCAGTAATGTTTCCAACCTTTGTACTTTCTGCATTGTCTGCTCATTTTCAGATTTCATCTTTTCTTTGTCACTTTGTAGGTCCTCTAATTTTAACTGCACTTCATCTAACTCAAACTTTACAAGAGGGAAAAGAATAATAAGCTAAAAGTATTGGAAATTGAGCCACAACTTTAGTATTAACTGGACTTTGGGCCAGACTTTTTTTATACTTTGTTAAGCAAACATCCAACTGCCAATAAAATTTTATTTTTGGCCAGTTAACACACACAAAAAAAATGGAAATTTCATTTTTTTTATGATTTCCTCTGCTCCTCTGAAATCCCTTAATTATATAAATTTAAAGCATTTATCAATCTCATTAGTACACTGTTTTCTACATTCATCAATAACATGTTATTTTTATTTCCTCCATTGTCTAGGTGCTTTTGGCAACATAATTTTGCTAAATAAGAAAACAAGTTGCATTTTTATTTTTTTCCACCCTACTCTGACAATCTTTAAAAAAAAAAATGTGCTAAACCAGGTATTAAAAAGGCTTGCCGCATTATCCCAAATATAATTTTGCGCTTTGTTGAATTAGAATATAGGAACTTGGCACTTTTTGGTTATTTTTTGTACAGAGTTAAAAAATACCGAAAAAATTCACCTCTAGTTGTGACTTCTGTTGCGATACATTGTCAAAACTGGCCTTAATGCTCGTTTTTTCGTGAGATAATGCTTCTTGCAATGCCGCCTTCTCCTTTATGATCTCCTTCAGTTTAGCAACCTCTTCTATGTGTTGTTTCTTAATCTCTTCTTCCAATAACTGGGCCTCATCTTGAAGATGCATAACTTTACTCTTGCTTTCCTGTAATTCTTTTTGCTGAGATTGGTAGTATGATAGAAAACAAAAAGAAGCCAACGTAAAATAAAATTGGTGTTATGAAGGAAGAATGAAAGCCATGAAAGCAAAAAAGAAAAACGCAAAAAGTGGCAATGTTAGTAAAGCATTCAATGACAACTGAAAACTAAATATATACTTCATATATACTGTAACAGAAGGATTAACATGAAAATGTTAATATAATAACTGAAGTTAAATACGAAGACTCAAGTAAAAAATTATAACATAAAAGCAAAAAATGTGAAATGAGAATATTAATGTGGTATAAGACTGTTTGAATCATCAGTGGCAAGACAAGTTAAACAGAAAGTTATTGCTTGACTTTCAGATTACCAATACAGCCCTCCCCAGACTATCAAATTTTATTTAAGAAAAACATGTGACATAAATAAATATGGTCATGATGACATCACATCATGACCATATATAGGCACATCATGACTATATATGGGCATACAGCCATTTTTTGTCACAAAAAATTGATAATCGGGACACAGCTTTAAGATATTTTTTTGGAAAGGATTACAAGACAGACAATTAATGGAGGCAAACAAATGTTATATTTACAGTATTTTTCACAAAATATCAAAACAAAATTAAGAAAAAATATAAATTGATGTGAAATTAAGTAGATAGTAACTATAGAATCCTTGATATGAGCCGGGATTTTTTTAAGGATTATTGAGGAAAAAATTAGAAGGAATATTTAAAAAATAATTAACCGGAATTATAGATTATAGCAATTTCAAATTTCTCAAGAACATTAAAATTACACAAAGAAAAATTGAGCTATCGATATATATTACAGACATCCCAAGCCAAAAAAACAATGAAGAATCTTTGTGTGCACTTAAACCACATTCTAGAAAAGTATACAGAAGTCACAATCACAATTCTTTAGTAAGTTTAATTTACATAAAGGTAAAAAAGAAACTAATTGGGCAGTTTGACACAGAAAACTCATAACTGCGAGCATATCAACAAATTATGTGACTGTCTATTTTCTTATGAGTTATGTCTGTATAAATTCATTTTTACCTTTTAAATTATTGTAATGCAAATATGTTTAACCCTGCGCTACCATCTTGTATTTATATACCGAAATAAATAAATAAATGAATAAATGTAATATATATTTTTGGTAAAGTCTGTGATCAGTCAATCAATCAAACAATCAATCAGACACTCTGCGATTTGGTCATTCAAACAGTCAATCAGTCAATTAAATCAATCAGTCAATCGATCAATGTATAATGAAATGTTCTACTAAGAAGGAGAGGTATTATTTGTATTTTGCTGTTGTATAATCACATACTTAGAAAGTTGTTAAAATTGTATAAAATAGTCTCAACTATAATAATTTTTTTATATTTTAAAAACAGTTGATTTATTTGTTGCATGAATTGTCTCAATTCTAGTTAAAAATACAGATTTATTTAACCAAATCTAAGTTTATCTGCACAAATCTTGAGATTGTATACTTTAGGAAAAGTACTTAAAAGAACATACTTTTCATTATATTTATGGCACGCTGTACATTGCATTAAAAGTGTACACCAACTTATATATCAAGCTGCCATCTGGAACAGACATCATGGGTGTACTTGAGAACGTTGGTAGAGCACCGGCGGATCGTCATTCGAATTCATTTGGATCAACAAGAATGATTGAGTAACCAAATTAATAACTTTAAAAAGACTCTGGAATCCAGAAATAAGCAATAAAACTTCCAGCCAATTTATTCCATACATATCATTTTTATTTTAGTATGTTTCACAAATCTTACATACTTATATCACTTGCACTAAGTCAGATCAAAATCGTACAACTTTTGAATAAATCCTCAAATGATATATAATATAAGCAAGCATAAAAAATATTTAAAACACGATACTTTGAAAGTTAGTGGGAACAACTGGGCTTGCAGTGCACTAGAGGTTATTGCAATACTGCCCTCAATCTTCTCCAATATATTTGAAATAAACTGGACATAATAATTTTGGTAATCTATTTATAAAATTGGTCAAAGTAATAAACAAATCACAATACATGTTTATTCCAGGCTTTCAAATCAAAATACATCTTAAGAACCAAATTGTAAAATCAAAATAAATGTACAAAAGTAATAAAGAAATGAAATTATTAAAAATCTTTTCAGTAACAACATTAACTATGCAATTTTGTCACTGTAGATGCCAATCATCTTAGTATGTATGCATATAATAAAATGTAAAAAATATACATCACAATGCATGTATGTGCATGTATGTATAAAAGTGCATTATTCCAAATGCTTTATATAAATCCTGTTATTTATACTATAAAATGAAAAAAATCGGAAGGGCCATATCATTTTTTTGTATTCAATTTTTCTATTACACTTTTTATTCTTGTGAAATATTTATTATTTATTATTTACAAAGAACCAAATAAAAAGAATATTAAATCTGTTAAAGGCTATTGTATTTTGATTTTAATATATGAAGTTCATCATCCAAAGATGAGGGGCTGGGATTGAAGATAATACTTTTAGTATAAACAGAATATAGACGCAGATTTATGCACACACGCACACACAACCACACCCACATTTGCACATAGACACCATGAAAGCCACAGTAGTGAAAATCTTTTTTGAAAAAATGTTTGCTGATATTTTCAGTTCCAAGCAAATTCTTAACAAACATGGTGAGGGGATATTTTATTCAACCAAGTAATCGTAAAATTAAAAAAAAATTGGAAGAATATTATTTCTTTATATGCTAACAATTTTGCTTTGTTGATCATATTGAACAGAGACCCACACTATCTATTTCCGACTGTACCACTAGTAATTCATGGTATCTACAGCAAAATGCACATGCTTCAGTAGATATAAAAAAAACAAAACAATGCTTTCTCAAAAACTCATCAGTAAGTAGATATTGCATCAAGCGTGCATTAATAATAAATACAACACTCATGAGTATAACATTGGCTAAAAACTTAAAAATATTTTAATCATTTTATAACTCTTAATAAATATTACAACATGTGTATATGAAGGCAAGTAATGAAGCAGTGAATAGTGTAGGAATGCGTATGGGAGGAAGATGGTGGATGGGATGGGTGATGGTCAGTAGCGGTGCTACGGGGAGGAAGAATTTTCTTTACCCCAGTTTGAGTTCCCCCACCCCCCCAAAAAAGAAGAAAAACCATCAGGGAGAAAAAATTGTATGTATTTTCTACATATTAGTAGACTATCTACCTATAAAATTGATTAAATAAGTTTCTGAAACCTATAGAATTGTCATATTTTTCGGGGGCTACGCATACGCATGGGTATGTATATTAAAAAGGTATTATGTGCATGTGTACCAAATATATATGGACTGTTAAAGTAATTACTCTTTTAATCTCAAGGTAGTGATACTTTTTTTTGAACTACATGTTTATAATTGGGGATGTAGTAGGTATCTGCCTAGATATGTGCCAATACATAAGTAGTGAAGTAAAAAGGCAAAGAAAAGGGATGAGATTTAAAGCAGATGAAATGCTGGAATGAAGTTAGCTGCAAGAACAACCATGAAGGTGCAATAATAGACAAACAATAGATTGCGATGCTATAATATTAAGACAAATGCAATATGTGCAGAGGAGGTGGTATGATGGGTTGATGAATGGGGGTGGGGTGATGAG